ATAGAATCTATCTAAGAAACGGAATGGAATTTTTAGGACGATAAATGATAAGCCGACTATACTTGAGTAAAATTTTAGCTACAAGCCAATAACTGTTTTTGAGATTAAGGCTGCATTGTCTGCCGTGCCTGTCGGCGGAAGAACAACATAACCTCCTCTAATTATACTTAATAGATGTACAAAATATTAGACAAGATATGGATTCAATATATGCTGTATTTAAAACAATGAGAGTTCCAACAAATAACAGAGGCTTTTTTCATGTATCATTGAAGGTATGTAACCAGTATTATCGATATTTTAAATGAATCTCACATTTAAGATGGGACTACTAGATTAAATATGCATTAGGCGTTCTTGACCCCAATTTTTTTTAAATAATTCCTGTTCTCCTACTGGGCACTAAGACCGTAAATCAATAATAAGTAGGTCTAGACTTCGGTCTCGGGGTATTTCTAATCTACACGGAGTGGGAACCTTGCCTATTACTTGATGAGTAGATAGTTGTTTTTGTTGTTGTTTTTTGGTAAAAATTCCAAATATTAAAATCAGAAAGGGTTAGATTTATTTAGTATTCCTTAGTATCACTCCATCGTGATGGATACGCTGATGAGTGAAACTTAAGTTCTGAAGTTAAATCAACGATATGAGCAATAATGGTGCCCGCTGCCTTTACAATAGCGAATCTAAAATATAGATCAGCTGGTAATTGGATTAGGGTCGATGGTACATTATCGACTAGTTTGTTCTCTCCTATTCTCTTTGGACGCTCAGTCTTTCTGAATACTTCGTAGCAATGACCACTCATTCATTTGTGGTCATAGGGGGCTCTTTGTCATGACTCTAAGATTATTTATTGACTTAACACCGTCTAGGCGAAGTATAGAAGGGTAAGTAATCCCGATAAATTCCTAACACAAAATAACGAGGAAGTTAATAAATAGTTTCAGTATCTTATCTTGGCACAAAATAGTTCACATTAAATTCTACTGAAATATAAATAACAAAGTAACATTAAAAGTTTAATGTCATTTTCAATTTTTTTTTTTTTTTTTTTTTTGAGTTTGTAAAGGCCTGTCGAACCACTTTTAAAATATTCCACAACGTGCACAACAACATTATATATATATATATATATATATATATATATTATATATATATATATATATATATATATATATATATATAATGTTGCTGTTTTGATATATATACATCCGAAGTCGGATGTACTTCGCTGTTTTAGTCCGAAACTAACAATTCATATTTAAATATATATATATATTTAAATATGAATTGTTGTTTCGGACTAAAACAGCGAAGTACATCCGACGATCAGCGATACCACATGCACCTCCTCCCACACTTTCTTTTAAATATTTACAAAAATTATTGACCACGTTTGAATCACGATTTAAAATTTTTATAAAAGAGACAAATGTTAATACATAGTTGCGATATTTTTCTTCAGTGTCGGAACTGTCACGAATGGAATTAATAGATTTCAAAACGACACTGGTTTAAGAATTGAATTTCGAAATGTTTACATACGTAAATTAAATGTATTTGCAAGCTTAGACCCACAATTGAAGCAATTTTGTTTGTTTTAATCTTATTTATTCAGAAATATTACAATCTGTCACAATTGCGGACATTTATAATAGTGTTCAGAGAACACATTCACACTCTATTTACAATAAATAAAAATGAATAATATAGAAAAATAATAATACTAAAAGTAAATCTATGAAAACAAAAGAACTAAACTAATCAAAACAACAACTAAAACACGAGCATACTTTTACACAATATTTACAGAATCTGTTCACTCAGAAGAACTCCGAGCCAAGCCTTTCTCTCCACTTATAGAAGCAAATGCAGGGCTCTAGGAGATCCCAGCACCTCTTACTCAGTAGCATTACTGGTATTAAGGACCAGTAGGGGCTGAGCAGAGGCGCAATAATCATACATACATGGCTTGAGTGGAGAATCCGGCCATTTCCAAAACTGCAATATATGCTTATTCACAAAAGGTCTCTGGTCCACTGGAGCTATTTGAAGCAAATGTGACACTTTTGGGCATCAATTATGTTTACCAACTTTTATTTTTTGAAAAATAAATATGATGAACAGCTGTCAAAATTAAACTATACACGCTTTGAAAGTTGAGTGCGAATTTCTATTCCGTCTAAATCTGCAAATATACAGGATGTTTAGGGTAAAAACAGATATAATATACCAGCGATTCTTTATCGAATTTCCAACAAAAAAGTTTCTTAAGTGCATGGTTTATCTCCTCTCTTATCGCTTGGTAGGGATTTTTTTGTTTATTTTTTTTCGGTAAAATTTCTATAGCGATCAAACAAAAAGAGATATAATGTTTTTGTTTTCGTCATAAGATCTCAAAATCTCTATTTTCAGGATATCCTGTAAGTAAACAGGTCTCTTTAGGAAATCCTACTTTACAGGAGAATATAATAAAGGACAAATCCTCCTTATCTAACGGGGAGGAAAAACTTATTTTAGTTATTTTTTCCTGTGAGATTGTTTTCATCTCTCGCCACTGATAGAACCACAAAGAAAGGGTGTTTCGGGCTGAAGCTCCCAAAATGGATTTTTTTTTTCCATTGGTCCATATTTGTTTCTGAGAATGACATGAGCTAAATACTGAAACAATCAAAATGCGTACTCTTTTGTCTGGTCTGACTCCATTCGGGGTTCCATAAAATAATTTGCTCACGGCTCTACCTTCATCAATTCTGATAATGTGTCCCAGCCATTATAAGCGCTGAATCCGCACGAAATGAAAAACTCGAAGATCGTTGAATAAGTCGTAGATCTCTTTGTTCTTTCTTAAACGCCATGTACGATTCTCTTTAACTGGCCCCATGATGCGCTTTAACACTTTTCTTTCAAAACTGTCAATCTTTTCAGCCAGGCTTTTGCGTAGGGTCCAGGTTCACTTGCAGAGGTCAGCACAGATCGGATGATTGTTTTATATATAATCGTTTTGGTATCCCGACTTAGTAGCTTACTTCGGAGGTAACTTCTTAGGGCGAAATATGCTTTATTATCCCCCATTACACGATTTTGAATTTCTTCTTCTTCGTCCACCCGATCATTAACGATGGAGCTGAGGTACTTAGAACTGGACACGCATTGAAAAGTATATTTTCCCACTACAAAATGATTAGGCGGGTTTATAGGTATTTTGTTCCTGAGCACCATAATTTTTGTTTTTTCCTCATTTGTGGATAGCTCCACTCTTCCAGCTTCTCTTTGCAACCTTTCACAGGCCTCCTTGATCTTCATGAGGAACAGTCCAACCAGTGCCACATCATCAGAATATCCAAGCATCACCATATTGAGTCATTTTACTAAAAATGGTGCCCGACTGACTAAGCTGTGTTCTATTCACCACAACTTGGAGGGCGATGTTCAATAGTAATGGGAGACTCGCGCTCTCATTCGAAGAACACGATACAAGTCGGATTAGCTTCGGTGGAATTCTCATCTCTTCCATTACCAGGTAGAGCTCTTGCCTGATAATGGAATCATAAGCTGCTTTAAAATCGAGGGAAATTCCAAATAATGTTGTTGAATTCTTTTGTTTTTTCCATTATTTCTCTCAAAGAGAATATCTGGTCAATTGTTGATCTATTCTTCCTGAAACCTCCCTGGTAATCGACCAACCGAAGTTTCACAAAATCTACAATTCGATTATATAAAACAACAAAAAATATTTTGTAAGCCATATTCATTAGGTAAATTCCCCGATAATTGTTGCAGTTTGATGAAGCAAGTTTCTTCTTGAGTAAGGGAATGATGGTAGATTTCTTCCAGCTTTCCGGCATTTTTTCGGTCTCCCAGATATTAACTATCAGATGAGTCAATTCCTCAGCCAGTGCTGACCCTTAATGCTTCAGAAAATGTCAAGCAAAAAATTAATCGAAATTTTGATTCCTTTCTCAAAATTGTATACAGAGGAATTAGAATTGTATCACGTTACATGCTATGTGTGCAAATTGGTTAACAGGATGTTCTCAACTTCAAAGTAACCTCCGAAAGTGATTTCTGAGTGTGGTCATCCTAAAGCGACACAGAAGAAGGTAGATTACCTACTCTAGGAGCTATTTCTCTGTGAACTTTGCTATGCAACAAAAGAAAGACTGTGAAATTCAATTCTATGCAATAGCTTCTGAATATGCACAACTGATTCACGACTTGAAAGCGAAGAAAGCAATAATGGTAGAGATTTATCTTCATAAAAAATGTCATTATGTAATAAATTATTTTATTTTTTTGCATTATAGTTCAATATATTTTTTATTTTTCAGATATTTGAAGTGACAAAAATAAAAATAATGAAGTTTTACTACGTTAATTTATTTTTAAAACTTGTTTAATAAAATAAAAGACGTAATCAAAATATATTTTTAAAAGTCTTAGATAAAAACAATAAGTGAAATTTTGATTAAATAATGCTTTTTTTCTCTCTTTTGTATTTCATATTTTTTAAATTGGGTATTTTTACATGTAAATGCTTGTTTTGATTTTTGTACCACTAGGTTGGTGAAACAGTCCACTATGGACCAGGAGACACAATTTAGGGCTGGCAAATTTTGAAGGAATTTTTTTTTATATTAAATGAAAATTACTTGTGTCAAATTTTTTTTAAACCTTAATACAGCCAATAAAATGAGTTTATGAAATGATGTGTTGATATTTATTATGAAATATGTTATCAAAAATATTATTTAAATTATTGAAGAGGTGAAAGGTGAGGTAAAAAATAACAAGCAAAAGTAAACTTGTCCCTTCTGGAAAAAATTCTAATTCTAGTCCTATACTTAAGTCAGATCCTTATCACCCTGCGCCCCTCCGACTAATAAATCTTAACACTATAAAAAACAATTTATTCACACTGTTGTGGGATATAATTATAACTTTATGATTTATTGAGTTAAACAACAAAAATTTAGGTCCAAGTTACTCAGTTACAGGGTGGTCATGGTTGTGGCGGGCAACTCAGATTCTGTGACGCTGAGTAGTCTCAAGCCGAATACACAGTACCAAGTGACTGTGACAGCTGTAAGAGGGGGCAGAAAGTTCAAAAGTAGGCCAGTTGTCTTCAGAACTCAAGGTAAGTATCAAATATTTTTATATTTATGCTCTAAAATTGATCAGTGCATAGAATCATATAAATTTGTTTAAAGTCTTATGACAAACTAAATCATAAAATAAAATTTACTTCAATGGTAACTAAGAAGTAAAACATTAAAAAACTTCATCCAATTCATTTACATTTTAATTCCGTCATTAGTACGGAAAAGAAGATCTAAGAAAATAAATAAAAATAACAATTGACCTTTAGTTCATTTGGAAAAAACTGAAATAAAAATATCAAAAAAACATAAATAAAAATATTTTATAAACCTCAAGAATGATTCAGTAAGTTTATTTATTTAGAAATGTGATCCAATGAGTTATCTTTTTAAATTGCTCTATAAAAAATTATAAAATTAATATTGACCATATATCTTTTTTTATTTTTTAGAAATGCCCAAGATACCTCAAGAAACAACTGTTCAAATAACTGGTGGTCCGCCATCAAAAATACTTCTAAGCCCAGGCATACCTCCACCACCAGGAATGTCTCCACCATACATACAGGTAAAAATAATAAATAAAAAAAACTAATTTAAAAAAACGTATAAATATAATTGACATTCATAAAACAAATCTATTAACTCTCTTGTTAATAATTTCATTTCCTGAACAAAAATTATTTACCATTAAGAAAGAATACCTACAATAACATCAGGAACATTCTCAAAATGCAAAACGCCTTCGAAGTTCCACCAAACCCATAGCATCTCCTTTTTCCCAAACCTCCGATTGTGCAGCTTCACTAAGCTGTACCCACTGCTTATTTTTGCTAGGGTTTTTTAAAAATATATAGTTTTCATCACTTATGATCATTTTTTCTGTCTATTTTTCTTTATTTCTGTCTTTTTTTAACCGTCTTTGGATTTTTGAGAAACATTTTTGCAAATATCAACATGTTGCTGAGCTTGGCCCTCTTTCAAGTCATGTGGATCAGACTTTGGTCTTCAATTCTGTATCCCAAAGTTTTTTAACATGACAAACCACTATGGCTTTAGAAGCCCCTATCTACTTACTTACTGCAAGGCGTTACGATCCATTAAGAACCAAAGCCTCCTCCAATATCCTGCTCAATTCTACTTTATCTGTCACTTTAGTTCGCCATCGCCTGATGTTCAGCTGGTGGAGGTCCTCTTCCAAGTAATCCAGCGATCGTGTACAAGGCTTACCTCTCCTTAGTGACCCACCAGGGAGACCATACCGTACAGCATTTGCCAAGGCAACCTCGACATAGGCATCCTTTTGACATGTCCAAGCCAGCCCAATCTTCTCTTCTTTAGGACATTAACTATGTCCACTTCTGGGAATAGTTCTTTCAGCTCGGAGTTTGTTCTCGCTCTAAATCCATCTTCCTTTTGCACAGAACCAAATGTTATCCTTCTTAAAACTCTTCTCTCCCAAGTCTTTAGCCTTTTCTCATTAGCTGCTTTCATAACCCAGGTTTCACTACTGTAAGTTACTGTGGGACTAATTATAGTCTTAATAAAGTGGGACTTTATATTCTTAGGTATAAAGCAATAACCTTGGCTTTTCTTGAGAGATTTTTATAACCTAGGGCAGAGCGCATTGCATATAGACATCTATTCCCTGCAGCAACTCGAGCCTTTATGTCCTCTGTTGTTTCGTTTTCTCTTGTGACGATTCCACCAGATACTTGAAGGATCTGCATGCTGTGAAGTCATGTTTCTCTGATTTAAGCTCTTCTTACTTGAAAATACTACCATCTCTAGTGGTCTTCAGGTATTTCGTTTTTTTTTTCATTTATAACCAGGCACAATTCATTAGCAGCTGTTTCAAACTCTTCTAGTGCCCCTGCTATTGCCGGTAATGATCTTGCCAATATCACTACATCATTGGCATAGGCCATATGCTGGATTAATCTATTGCAAATGTTTCCTCCTGGATTTGTTTTAATTTTTCTAATATCATATACAAATGCTAAGTTAAAAAGTACGGGGGAAAGAGGATCTCCTTCATCTTGTCCAGAGCCACTAGCATTCGTTTCTGTTAGACAAACCGTTTCAATGCTGTCGTACGCTTGCTTAAAGTCTATAAATAGGTGGTGAAGTGTCACATTGTATTCGTAAGACTTTTCTAGGAGTTGCCTAAGTGAAAAGAGGTGATCGGTTGAGGATCTTTCTGGTCTAAAACCACCTGGGTATTCACCAATCGTTTCTTCGGCCCATATGTTCATTCTTCGATATAAAGCAATTGACAGTACTTTGTATGCTGTATCCAGAAGAGAAATAGCCCTGTAATTGTCACACTGAAGCTTGTATCTCTATTTATATATCGGGCATATAATAGCTTCCAACCACTCACTGGCATCTTTTCAGTCTTTCAAATCCCCGCCCACACTCCCTGGCCCAGGAAAATCCCGTATAGCCTTAACGGCGAGGAACGGAAGGACAAAAAAAAAAAAAAATCACAAGTAGTCGCATGTGGGTTCTAGTTACCCAAAAAATTTATACTTTTTTTTTTTTTATTATTATTATTGAAATTTGCAAGTGTATAATGATAAATACAACTATTAAATATGAAATCATGCTATTTAAATTCAAAAAAGTAAATTATTAACAATTAAGAAAATTCAAATCATTGCAGTAATTCATCTATTATGGATTGTATTATTCCTTACAAAACAGTATAGTTAGAAAGAAATTGTATTTATAAAATAAGTTTATTTGTAAATTAAAACTATTTTAAAATAGCTAACATTATTAAAATTAAATAATAGTTAAAATCATAGATTGGCAAAACAATATAAAAGACTATAATACTTTTTTTATTGCAGGTGAGAGGGGTTGAGGTGGGTATAGTCTGCTTAGTGCTTCTGGTATGGGTAGGAGCAATAATTCTCTTCTTCAACCGCTGGGGCAAGATAAGAATGCTCCTTCCATACCAGCCAGATTATAAAGATACTCAACTCAAAGTGCCAGGTACATGTCAACAAGGCACATCTTGCCAAGCAACTGGATCTTCTGGTCTCTGTTGTGCTCAGGTATTGCTTACAATCATAATCATAACATAACAAATTTAGTTAATTTTTTTATCCAAACCTATATACTGTAAAACAATTCCTCCTACTAAATAATATCACTCCTTCATTGAAAATAAACATGAATAAAAAATTAAAACTCTTAATGGGCACGTATATAAATGTTTTTATTCTATAATGTGAAAATTCAAAAATTGCTTGTGCCATTATTGGTCATGGAATAAAACAATCAACATTAATACAATAAACTGGATAGCAAATCAAGGACTAACCTACACCAATTATCTAAATTTTAAAGTCATAAAAATCTGTTAAATAAGACACTTGAATATGTTTGGAAAATAAAAGTAAAATATATATACCAAAGCATTACTGCCTGTTTCCATAAATTTTTATGAGCCAATGTTCTACTATAACTATTATTAATTTTGGATGGATAAATCATCGCTTGAGTACTTTTTAAAATGAAACTGATATAAGAATGGATTTATTCATTTCTATATGTATATTTATACGTACATATGTACAAATGTGATTGAATATTGACCACATTGCTAAAACTATTAATTTTTCTTCCATGGTTCCCCAGAAAATATGCAATAAGATTTTTACCAAAAATTATGGCAATGTTATTATAAACTCCTTTTTGTTCTGCAAAAACAATTTATGATTTAAACATAATAACAAAAAATACACAAACTTTTATCTAATTTGTCTTTAATAAATTAAAACTAACAAAATTGTGAAAGCCTTACACATTATTGCATTTTTCTCTAATGAATTTACATGAATTTTCATTAGCCATAAAGTTTTTTTTTTCTTTTTAACTTTGAAATAATTAACTTTTTTTTAGGATCATCATAATAAGTTAGGAAATTTTTAGTAGAGCAAAGCTTCTTGCTCGGTAATTTTTTTTAGTACTAATAATTTTTAAATTCATGCAGATTTTCAGCTAAAGCTAGATCACTTAAGAATCTTAGAATATTAATATTGAAAGGCATGAGTGGCTTTGTAATGACTGGCTTCTTGTATAATTAAATACCTAACGGGGTGAAGCATGAGTGAAAGAAAATAATAATAATTTCAATGCTTCAATTTTAAATTATTTATGTCATTAGATATTAGCTATACAATGTGAAAAAGATACACTATGTACTATACATTTCACTATGAATAAAATTAATTGAATAAAGTGAAGTTAAACTTTTTTACTTTTAAATATTAAGTATAACACTTGAATTATTATTATTGTATAAATAATTTCAATTAATTCCATGAAGCTTTATAAACAGGTTTGTATAGTATAACTGAATGTATTCAAATATACACATAGGGTGGGTCAAGAAAAATTAGCCAAACACCAGAGGTGGGTTGCATAAAGAAAAATAATTTTAAAAAACTCGAATGTTCTTTATTCAATTTTCATTTGTTTAAATTTTACTGGCTAGTTACAAATAAACAAATTTTAAAAAATTTACAGTACGTCATACATTTATTAGCATTAGGATTTTGTTTACAACAAATCATAAACAAGTCACAATCATATTAGACCATATGAGCCTTTCAGTTGACAGAATGAATACCTCCGATTTTAATATTTTTGAGTAATCATTTTAGTGATATTTCTATTTAGAAAATTTATATCTGTATAGACAGTGAGTAAGTTGATTCCAGAGGTAATTGCGGTGTTGAAATATAAAACTGTGAATAAAGGTATACATTTTCCCACAAGAAATATCATTAAAATTAATAATAAAAAATCTTGTAATTGGAGTTAGTCATTCTGTCATGACTAATACACCTATTAATGTAGGGAATATGCAAATATACTATTTATTTATGGTTTTTTCAATGGAAGTGCTAGAGCTGCTGTGGAGGAATCTCGACAATGGTTTCCTCCATGCAGACATTCTGCTAAAAAGTTATTAATCAGAGTTTCAAACAAGCTGTGCGAGAGTGGAACATTGCCCAGTGCTATAATATTCACACAAGCTACATGCCAAGGCTTAGAAGTAGAAAATATTCTCGATCTACTAAAATAAGATTAAACAAATAGCTGATATAAAAAGTTGCTCAATTGGGCATTCCAAAAATAAGAGAAATAAACACACTCCACAAGCAAGGCTTATACCCATACCATATACAGAGATTAGAACAGAAAGAATATTTGAAACATATGAAATTTTTTGTTGGGTGAATGGCTATCCTCATGTTGTATCGCACATACTGTTCACGGATGAAGAAACATTTACTCATGACAGCATTAATAAACCTCACAACTCCCATTTGTGAGCTGGTGAAAATCTCTCAGCAAAAGTCTATAGCAATTTTCAAAGTACGTTTTTAGAGTATCACCACAAGAATAATTTTAAGATGAAGTATACAAAGGAAAAGTAGATACCCGGGATACACCAATTCAACATATTAAAAAATATTGCTGTCATGATATGAAACAATCAGACTGTCAACTGTTGCCCTTTGAAGACGAAGCCAAAAATTTTTAGAAGTCAATGGTGTTATTTTATAACGTTTTATTAGTATAAGATTTTGATAACTGAAATGCTAATACATGTATGAAATATTGTTTGTGTTGTGAATTTTTTTTAGTTTGTAATTAGCCAATAAAATTTAAACAAATGAAAATTGGATAAGAAAATATGAGTTTGTTTTTATAAGATTCCTGTGTGCAACCCACTCCTGGAGCCTGGCCCACACCCCCCTAATCACCCTGTATATAACATATACTGTGCACTGTGTTCCAATATCCATTAAAAACAAAAAATACAGATTATTAATACTTTTTATCAAATATGTATTGAATAAATAGTTATATAATTCAATATTTACTCAAATAAAATTCATATCTCAAAGCAAATTTCATCATATTTAAAGTTAGTCTAGAAATATATATACAAATGACAATCAACTGTAAAAATTTAGAGCTATTTGATCATTTTAATTGCTTCATGAATTATAAAGATTTTTTCAGACAACTTTACAAATATTAATCACAAATAATTACAATTAATAACACTTTAATTTAGATATTAAAATAACAATAACAATGCATATTAGTGCAACTTTTGGTACTTTTATTTGAAATACTAGTTTTTACATTTTTTGTACCTAATATTACAGTCTGATAAGCTTTAATGACTAATTCAATAAACTTATTACTTATGAAATTAAAACACAAAAAACTCAAAACAGCTGCTATTGTTTTTTTAAATTTTTATGATCGATTAATTAGGTGAACTGAACTACATTAAAAAATGTATTAAATAATTTCAACACAGAAAAAAATCACTCATTAAAAGAGGGATGCACATTGCTGGTTTGATATATTATAAGCCAATGACATTATGAAAATAAAATTAGTAAACACTGTTCCACTTTAACCCATTCTATTTTTATTATCAAATTTTCAAGAAGTTGATGAATACTTCTAGTACCTAACATCTCACACTCATATATGTCACATTCGCAATCTTGAGGCAATGTCTCTCCTCTTCCCCTTAGCAAATCAAGAAAATTTATTGATGAAAAAATATATGTACAAACTATTACAGTTTCTTATGATTCTTATCAAAACTTATATTATCTATATCTAGACTTCAACAAAGATTCAAGAGCTTGTTGTTCCGAAGATGCAGCTTTAAAATATTGTTTTTCAGTACATGCCTGATAGGTTTGTTCACAATCCCTTACTGCATACTGTATCTAACCTTCCAGCGGGCATGATGGTGCACAAATGCACCAACCTTGGTTTTTAGGCTGTCAAATCTCTCAAAAGTGTCCCGTTGTCTTATAAATCACAGGTATTTGTTTACTTAATCCTTAGTGTCCTTTTGCTACCTTCTCATCTGCCTCTGACCTTTAAAACACTCAGTACTTTTTTAAATTGGAAAACTTTCTGGAAAAATCTTTAAAAAACTGTTGTGATGCACTCCGTGCGCTGCACGCTCACTCGTGTTATACTTTTAGGTTTACTTTGATATTTTAGGTGTTTGTGGTTGCATTGAAGTTTTTAAAATATCACATGTTTGTGATATGAAGATCTCATGTGTGTGAAAGGAAAAAGAACATAAACACGATAAAAACATACTCCAAGTGTGCAAAAAATGTTACAACACTTACAAAATCCATCTTGTAATTGAGCCTGCGTGCATTTCATGTCATTGGCAAGATGAATCTGATTATGGTTAATTTGAATACGTGATTACTTTTTTTTTGCTGCTTTCTAATTTTTTTTTATAGTAAACTTGTTTTGTTTTGTAATCAAAGTTATGTTTTATATCATCAAGTACTATATATATTTTTTTTTTCTTCAGATGTCACCTATTAAATTGAAGTACATAAAATATTTTTATATTTATTCCTTTCTTTTATTTAATATGTCCTGCCTTATATTGAAAATATAAAAAATAAACATGTTTGTTTCCCTATCATAAAATTGAGTAAAAAACAACAGAAAAAAATAAGTTACAATAATTTAATATCCGTACATTTATTATTACAGTTTTTTTTTTTAACTTTCTTTATTGAATATGAATACATTCTGCCACATTGAAGGGCATTAATATTAAGGCTACATGATTCATTCACACAATATGTACATACAATTAATATCAATAATAAAGAAAAAGAAATATAAAAAAAATAAAATAAGTAAATTGGTATGCCTGTGTACAAAAAAAATAATGAAATAATAGATAAAAGCTAGATGAAATTAAAGTAAATAAATCACATTCACACCTATGTACAATATTTGCATTCACTCAGGGGACTCTGAGTCATGCCTTATGTCCCGACGTGGAAGCCAAGGCAGGACTTCAGGAGATCCCAGTGCTTCTCTCTCAGCCGCGTCACTGTTATTTGAAACCAGTGGAAACTGATGGAGGGCACTATAGCAACAGATGCTCATGTCTTGAGTGGAGAATCTGGCGATTGCCAGTACTCCAATATATACATATTTACAAAAGGTCGCGGGGCCACTGCCGTTT